TTGAAGATCTAGAAAACATTCCTATGAGGGAAGGCTGAAAACTTGGTTTGTTTAGTTTAGAAAAGAAGACTGAGAGGTGACATGATAGTTTAAGTACCTAAAAGGGTGTTACAAGGAGGAAGAAAAAATGTTCTCCTTGGCCTCTGATAGGACAAGAAGCAATGGGCTTAAACTGAAGCAAGGGAGGTTTAGGTTGGACATTAGTAAAAACTTCCTAACTGTCAGGGTGGGGAAAACATTGGAATAGATTGCCTAGGAGATTGTGAAATCTTCATCATTGGAAATATTTAAGAACAGGTTGAACAGACATCAGGGATGATCTAGAACAGTGTTTCTTAAACTTTAAGACCGAGGAACACCTTTCTTTTTTAGATGAGGGACATGTAGGATTCTTTACTGAGAAAAAAAGTCAGAGGGGAAAAAGGGTCAGGGAAGTTATTGGGGAAAAAAGGGTTGGAGAAAGTTAGAGAAAAAGGTCACTTGCCTCTAAGAGTGGCCATTTTGAATTCTGTTCTCCACGGCACACCAGCGTGCCAAGGAACACAGTTTAAGAAACACTGATCTAGAAGGTGCTCAGTCCCACCATGGGGGCAGGGGACTGACTTGATCTCTCAAGGTCCCTTCCATTTCTAGTAGTCGATTCTATGACCATAAAAATAAGCCAGTGGGGGAGCACTTTACAAGTACAAAACTGTCCAGGGAGGTTAAAGTTGCCATTCTCTGGCAAAAAACCGTCAAAACCGGACTGCAACCAGAAACTGCTGAGCTGGAAATCATATGCAAATTTGACACCCTGAAGAGAGGTTTATATCACATGTGGGGAACTTTTGATTGGGACCACGGACTCAAAGGAAATCAGTTGGGGGCCACACAAGTGAGAAAAAACAAAACCCTCATTGACATGGCCCCTTACTGAGGAGGAGAAAGACACTTGCACACAAGAATGGGGGGGGTGGAGCGGGCAAGGCAGCCTAGTAATTGTGTGTGCCAGCCCTGCGGTGGGGCAGCAGGGGGAGCTGGAACACCAGCACAGCTCTTCAATGCTGGGAGGGGAGGGGGGGGGGGGGGGGGTTGGTCTAGGGGTCTCTCTATTTATAAGAAATGTAAAAAGCTGAGATGTTACCTTTTTAGCATGAATTCAAATACCAAAAAGATAGAGAAGTTGTAGCATTCATCTGGTTTTAGAGTTTGATTTTGGTTTGGGTTTTTTTTTTTTCATTGTTTCTTTTTAACTGATTGGGTCAGCGATGTTGTAAATTATGTCAGTTTGGAAATTTAATGTGAGAGAAAATGTTCCAGAATTACAAAGATCATTATGAAAATAACAAGGTGTCCAGTGACTAAAAAAATTTATTAAGGTATCCTTTTTCTCTTCAGCAGATGAAGAAGTTAATTGTAGCTCATGAAAACTTATGCTCTAATACCCTAATAAATGTGTTAGTCTTCAAAGTACCACCAGACTCCTATGGCTTTTGCTGAGAAGGCCAACATGACTACCTCTCTGAAATCGAACATGAGATCTTTGCTAATTTTTCAATTGGATATCTACTTCTGAAGCTTGTAAAAAAAAAACCCACACACCACGACATCTCCACAAAACTGAAAATGACTCCACACTGTAAAAAATGCACATCCAGCAAGCAAAGCAAGGCATGAAATATCTAGTGTCAATCTGCATAATGAATATACTCTCTTCTAGTAGCTTATAAGTAATCTTATGTAATCATAGTAATAGGTAGACTACATGCTAACCAATATTAGTTATTACACATGCAATCTAATACTTTCCTTATCTAATATGCAATACAAATGTGTAATGTTTGTTAAATCCTGCTAATTCAAATGCTCCAAGGTTTCTTGAGCTGCTGTAGTCCTCTAATGGAGTTAAGTTTAAGCATTCACTATATTGGGTATTAATTCCTTAGTGATTGCTGTTCAATACAACCTTTGATGTGAAAGGACATGAAGCTTACTTTAGACCAAAAACTCCTGTCATTAATTTATATAAAATATATTCATGTGTTTAGTTTAAGATAAGAGGCTAACACATAGACTTTGAGAAAAAAATTGAAAACGTAATGTTTTATCTCAAGCCACAAGAGATCAGGTGTGTGTGTGAGGGAGGGGAGATGATATGTTCTCATCCTGCCCACAAACCATGCTCCATTCACCTGTGAAGCCAAAATAGGATGTTATTGACAATAAACTATGTATCCTTCATAACATTTATTGCAGCCTTTGCTCAGTAGTGAATTCCATTTAAGCCTCTTTAATCCAGCAACCCTGGGAAATAGGGTAAAGTTTTCAAACCACAGAGGGTGCTGCAGTGGATTCTGGGAAGAAGGGAGCATGCATGAAGGGAATAGGGATGCAGGGTCTGGACATGAGGTTGATGGGAGTGGGGTATTTCTGGCACCCTGCTATGGGAGCATATGCGGCTCCATGCCCCAAAATACTAACTGGGGATGTTAAAGTGGGTTTACATAAACATGTAATTGTTGAAATTCAGGGCTTACACATAGGAGCAGAGCCATCTGACCCCACCCCTTGCTCCCATCTCACCCCCTTGCTGTTGCCTCAGATGGTGAGAGAACTGCGTGTAACCATGCACAACAGATTAGTCCAAGGTCATTGATAACCATGTACATGTTTGCATCCTCAATACCAATCTCTGCTGCCTCACCTCCAGACCAGCACTTTGCTATGTTGCTGTTTCCTTAGATGTGAGGGAGGGGAGAATGGCAGCACACAGAGCTGCTTCCTCCTCTCCCTGCTGGAGTCCAAACCAATATCATTGTTAGCATTCCACTGAGGTAAGTGGAGCAGATTATACTTCAGAGAAGTACGATTTGAGGCTCTCTAGCTTCAGAGAAATGCACAATTAGAATCCATCTACAGCAAGGGTATTTGTACTGTACAGTATACAGGTGCTAACCTCTCCATGTAGATGTGTTGAACAGGTATAAAACAAACTTGCACTGGTGAGGCTTATCTTGGTTTCTAAAGTAAACTGCACTAACATGTCTTACATTCAAATCTGTACACTTAATACATGTTGTATTCACTGCAGCTTCACTGGTGTAAACTATACAGACAAATATAAACAGGTCATCAAAACATACTGAAAGTTATCACTAACTAAAAGGGCTAACGTCATCATCAAGTAAAAGCATGTAAACACACATTTAGTTCCTTGGTGAATCCAGACCTAAATGACAGTTTACATTCCGGAATACAAGCCTCTCATTGAGTCATCAAGAAGTCATCATAATACAACCTCTGAATGAAAGTTTATGCTGTAAAGAAACAAGTAACAAATCAAACCTATTTGAAAAAGCATACATAGTTTTTAAAAGCATACATTATAGAAAGACACTGTGCATTTTGAAGGGAAAACAGCAAAGGTTTTGGAGAAAAGTTATTTGTTTGCTCTCAAGAGTGCAGATGAATTTAGGAGATTAATTCTTTAATCCATTTCACAGAAAGACAGACAAATGGGATAAATAATTTAAGGAAAAACACGAGAGCATGTCAGTGACATTCGCGCATCCTTCTACCCACCTACAACATATACACCAGCTCAACTCAATCTCAGCATACTATTAGCTGGTAATAAACATCTTAACTTGCTCAAATACATATGTGCATTTCTCCATCATTCTGATAGCCTGATTCAAACAGTTATGTCAAAATAGTTGCACACACACATTCACTCTGCATAAATGGCGGTGTTTCACTGAAATGTCTCTGGGATACAACATAAATACAAATAATCTTGCAGCACCTTAGAGACTAACAAAAATGTACATGGTATCATGAGCTTTCGTGGGCACAAGCTGATGCCCACGAAAGCTCATGATACCTCTAAATTTCTGTTAGTCTTTAAGGTGCTGCAAAACTGTTTTAAGTTTATTTAGTTACAGACTAACACAGCTACACCTCTGAAACTGATACACAAGCGTTTCAACCTTGAAAAGTATTTTCACCAATATATGAGGTTTCTTGTCCTTACTGGGGGGAAAGATGCCAAATCACAACCAAACAAGATAGATAATGGAGGTAATAAGAATAATAAAGTCTCTTTTTAGTTTTACCCAGTGTGGCCCTGGCACATAAGGTGAGCTTTGTACTCCGTCAGTCATGGCCATTATTTTGGCTTCTTTCTCCATTATAATAAAAAAAAAAAAAAAGACAAAACCAATCCAAGAGACAGTGTAAACGGACAAGAATAGTTAAGCAGAACTCGAGCCAGGACTGGAAGAGGAAGGGGCAGCCCCTGGAGCGAGGAGGCAGAGAAGAGGGCAGGAGATTTGGCAGCAAGCGGAGGTAAGACGCAGCTACAGGAGACTGGGAAAGGAAGAGACACTTTAGTCCCGGTCCCCTGCCCGCAGGAGAGCCAGGAGGCTGGGGCCGC